GGCGTACGTGGGGCCACACTTAACAGCCCTCCTGGGCATTGGAGGACAGGGCGTGGCCGAGTCTTGACCTTCCATTCACAGATATTGTATTTGATGGAACGGTAACTCTTTTCAGTTTGGCAGCAGCATCTCCAGAGCGGATTGCAGTCAGCAAACTCTGTCTGATCTGCTCTGGGTCAGAGCTTTGCAATGTTAAGGAACTTTGTCTCTTAAGGGTGAATGATGGGCAGTCAGTTGGAGTTGACATTTGAGAGTTCTGTTCATTATGTGCAGAGTTATTTTGATTCTCTGTCACCTCAAGTTGTTGGGTGTCGGGAAACTTATTTCCCACGCAGGTCACGCACGTCTTCCCGCCTTCTGCACTGGCGTGAGGTGGAACAGGTTCGGCCTCGCTGGAGGATTCCCTGCGCACCTTACTGAAAGACTGCGACCTTTTCACTACAGCCAGGGCAAACGGTGAAGGAGCGGAAGTGGAGAAGGGTGGGGGGGGGGGCACCGAAGGTTTTCAGAGTCTTCAGATTCACTGCCGCTGGCTGGGTGGAGGGAGGAGGCGCTGGCTTGGGTGCGATGGGGGTAGGAGCCGGCTTCGGGGTGAGGACAGCATCCTCAGCGCTTCTGACCTGAGGTGGCGGAGCAGGGTGGGTTGCTTTACCTAAGGGAGAAAGAGTCTGCGCTGGAGAAGGCAGTGTGTCCTGTTCCGCATCTTTACTTGGGAGCTCTTTGGAGGCAGCGTTAGGTCCAGTGTGTGTGCTCTTGGCAGCTGCAGATGTGACATAGTGGCCTGATGCTCTCTTCTGCATCTGCATTAAAAAGGAATTTGGTTTGGCCTGGGGATTTGAAGCCTGAGGTTTTATTTTTGACTCCAAAATATTGTTTATGTCTTCCAAAGTTGGTGAGAAAGGAGCTGTGCTAGTGTCTCCAGCCATTCTGGGAGGTTTCGGAGGCTTGCTCACCACCCCGTCGGGAAAGCTCAAGGCCCTGTGCAACTGCTGCTCGGTTCTCGAGCTGGCTTTGGGTGTGGCGGCTAGCACACGCTCCCTGGGGTGTTCAGCGGCAGCAGCGTCCTCCGTTTGCATGCAAGTTTCTTTCACATTCTCGGAAGCGTGCTTTCGCCCTAAAGTAGGGGCCTTGTGATCATCATTAAACACTTCGGTGTCTGACTCCCAGTCTTTCGGTATTTCCAGGGATTTGACAGGCACTATTTTATAGGTCGTCATTCCAATTTTGGGTATATACTCTCTTGTAATTTCATTCGAAGGTTTTGGTTTAGCGCTGTAGTCCTGTCTGTAAAGTGGAGAATTCTGCAGGTAAGAAACAGCTGAATTTCTATCAGTTCCATCTAGAGGGGATGACAGATCACTACCATAGGCATAAACTGGGTCTTTTCTGGCAAGTCTATCCTCTGAGCATACAGCTAGGGTGCCCTGGCCTCTCCACTTGCTGGAGACAGCTGCAGACTCTTGTAAGCTTAAGGACGACGGTTGAGTTGATTTGCTATTTGAAGTTTGTACACTTTCATCAACTTTGAAGTCAGCCAAATTATGATCTTGGTGATTCCCATCAAAGCTGCTGTGGGAAGGGGTGGTCTGAATTGCTGCATCTTGCATTTTCGACTTTTCTGCTCTGTGTTGATTCAGTTTTTGATCTGGCTCTGAGACCACTGCTCGAGGATTTTCCTTGGAACTTAGGAAACTCGCAGCTTCAGGTGCCTGACACTTGAATAGCTTGTCAACTTCCACATTTCCATTCTTACTTCTGGCTTCATCTTCTACACAGATTTCTGTTCTTCTCATGCTATTTTGCATCTTATCTTCTGTATTTGTTGCAAGGGCATTGATATCATTTTGAACATTTTTTTGATTTGGGTCCAGGGAGTGCAAGTTCCTGACACCATCAGCTAACGTATCTTCTTTGCTTGTATTGTAGACAACACCGTGTGACCCTGGTCCATCTGTGGGGGCAGCCTCTTGCGTTTCCCCCGGGGAGCTTTGTGAGGCCTCTCCGATGTCAGTGCCAAGTGCCGAGTCCAGGGCTGTCCTCAGCGTGCTCATTAGATCAGCAGATGCCAAAGAGCTGTCCGGTGACTTCAGAGAAAAGTCTTCAGACTCATCTTTTGGCACCTCGCTCAGTTCGTCCTTTTCATCTATCTCTTCAAGGCTATAATCCGAGCTTGTTCCAGATGTCAAGGATGCTACAGCCGCCTCGGGGGTTCTAGGACCCTCAGAGAGAGAGGTTTTGTCAGGCAGTTTGGGCGGAGTGCACTGTTCCTGATGGAAGAGCCCAGCGCCAAGGCAGCCATCTGGGCTGGGGAGGCTCTCAGGAGAGGTGGCTTCTGAAGCGCTGTCTGCGGAAGCTCTGTCTACTGCCTGCAGGGCAGTTGCAGGGCCGTTCTCATCACTCTGAGGCAGGGGCATTTTGGAGGGTGGGGAAGGTGCTTTCCGCTTGGTCCTTTTCAAAGATAAATTCCCTTCAGATGTGGTGGTGAGCGGCAGTGAGCCCGTCCTCATTCGGCCTGCTTCCCGGGGACTCTCATCAGCTTCCTCCACACCTGTAGACTTCGCGACAGAAGAGCCTGCCTTGTCCTGGGGCTGCTCAAGGTCCTGGGGTGCAACCTGCGACGTCAGCATGGGTGGCAGCGAGACCCGCCTCTTCTTGGGTGCATCCGAAGGCAGGGTGTTGGACACATACGGCCTGGAGACGGTGTTCGACCTCACAAAAGTTGGGCGGTGCTTATTGATTAGAGGGGTTGCAGGAGCACTCACAGTTTGCTTGCGCCTTTTCTTGCTGCGTTGAAAAAAACTAAAAAATCCCTTAGTTTCTTTCTCCTTCATAATATCTAGGTTTGGTGATATTTGAGAAGACTACTTGCTACATATGGTAGGCACGAGTTCATGAAGCGACGCGTGTGGACTCACTCTCACTGTGGCCTTCTGTGTTCTCTTAAAATTGATCACTACTCTCACAGTTTCCTCTGGTATTATAGGTATAGGTTTCTTCTTATCCAAATTTTTTGGCTTTAAAATCACTTTCTCTATGTCCAACAGTCCTATTGGTGTGTTTGGCTTAAATTTAATGTTATTCTTCTCAGCTGACAGCAGGTCGATTGTATAACTTGATGGATTTAAATGATACTGTGCACACAGGAATATCAACAAGTCCATCATAGGCTTACTGCCATGAACAGTGGTGGACTTGATGATGTCACCAGGCAAAACCACCGTAAGCTCAATGTCTTTATCAGTTACGTTTTCCTTCTGTTCCATGCTGAAAGAAGAGGCTTCTACAGAATCATCAACTGAAGAGACATCCACATATTTTGTCTCAGCCGGAGGAAGTGGAGCCTTGGCTTTTGTTTTTCTCCCGGGCGGGGCGGCGGCATGCGCGCTGGGGTCTTGGCGATCCATCTCCAGGCGGGGCGCTGCGCGGCTCCAGCTCCGAGGCGGCGCGTCAGGGCTGCAGCGGGCGGGCGAGGACTGCGGGTCGGGGCGCGACGCGATGTGTTTCTATTTCTTTATTCCAAACCTTCAACACTTTTCCCTCCTGTTCCCTTTAAGAGACCTACCTCTGTTAGCTAAACATAGTTGAAATAACCAAAATTTTCTTCACGTGTTTGTACCAAAGCTATAATTGCTCTATAGATCTCTGGATTCTACTTGCCAGTTATACCAAATTGTCCTTATCTCTGTCACTACTGTTGTCCTAACTAGTATGACAGGATAACAGACTTGAGGTCACTTGTCTGCCCTTCCTCTGTTGCTCCCTTCCAGTTCTTCAGATAACAGCCAGGGTGAAATTTCATAAATATAATTGATTCTACTACTCCATTTTGAAGTATCTTACTGGCCTTCATGTCCTTGGGATAATTTCTAAACAACTAACAATATCTTACAAATGTTTGCCTACCTTTGATTATGTCTGTTGCTGACAAGTCCCTGATATTTATATTATGGTTTATATCTAGAGCAACAAAGCATCATCCCATAGGTAGGGCTGCTGTGAAGTGATTGTATCATGAGGGTATGATGCTTATCTTTTACCCCTTATGCCATGCTATCCTGCCTAGGACCTAGCTGACTATGGACTAAAACCTCTACAATCTTTGAGAAAAATAAAGATTTTTTGCTTTAATTTGTGTTGTTTCAGCAGTGAGAAAGTAAGCAATTCATGCTCCAATTTAATAATCACATTATTGAAATACTTAAAATGATATAGGTAGAGTGCAGTAGTCACTTTCCTGTTGTTAGTACTAACTACCCAACACCTACAACTTAGTGGAGCAAAGGTTGGATTTGGCCCATGAAGCCAGAGGGGTTAGTCTGGCTCTGTGGTGGAAACATCACTGTGGAAAACATAGTGGAACAGAGCCATTTACTTCACAGTGTGGGAAGCAGAAGGAGGATCAGTGCCAGAGAAGAAGAAACTGGAAGATGTAGGTCCCAAGGTCAGGCCTCCATAACTCATCTACACTCACCCCAAAGAGGTGCATTATATGTGATCTGGTTGCTTCTACGCCAATCACACTGACAATTACACTTAATTGTCAGGCTGGCCAAATAGCTGAGCAGATTAAAGCACCTGCAAACACGTGTAGGCACTAGGGGTTCGATCCTCAGGCCTGATGTGCTGGTCCTGACCCCAGGGTGCACTGAGATGGCAATTGAGACTGGGTGTGGTGATGTGTGCTTGTAATCCCAGCACTTGGGAGGCTGTAAACAGGAGGATCACTATGAGTCCAATCTAGTAGTGAGACCCTGGCCACCCTGTAGACCCTTCTCTAAAAATACAAAAAGTAAAAAATAAAAATAAAAAGAATAAACTTAATTGTCACAGGATTTGGAAACAATGGACAGACTGTGGCAGGTAGGTTTGAGGAATTTTGTTGATGCTTACGTAATTTATAAAGTGATTTATTTGCACAGATACTTATATTTTATAGATTCCAGTTAGCTCAGAAAAAGGAACTGAATGAGAGAAGTATAGTTTCCAAAAATGTGTTAAACTGTCTTTGTCAAACACATTAGTCTTCAACCTTAAGATGTACTCACTGGTAAGCCAAATATTGAAATGATTCATTTCACACAACTTTGGAAGCTATTTGCAAACATTCTACAAATGGCTTTATTTTCTCTTCCCTTAGCTGGTTAGATGTCATAAATGACTGCTTTGCATTTGTCACAATTAATATGTTTGGAAAACTTTTGTGCATCTCATTTTTAATGCAGTTTACATAAATCTCTCAATCTGACCTGTCACTTTTAATGAAATACCATTCATTTTTCTGTCTGTGAAGAAATTTCCATCTGTGGAGATGTGATTGTGTCAAAGGGCACTGCCATACAGAAAGCTTGTAACATTAGATTAGTGAAATAGCTCTTTTCAAACATTATTTATTATCCATTTTTCTCACCTATTTATTGTCTGAGTATTCACTGTCAGAGTTCCATATTATAAAACTTAAGTTAAATTCTTGAAAGATTAA